ATATCTCCATATAAATTTCCTAGCTCTATGCTGAAGACCTAGAATAATGATACGTGTACCTCAGTAACAACAGCATGCCCAGTACCCAGATATTAATTTCTAAATATCATTCTCTAGTAAAAGGAATTGGGGCCCTTGGGGAAACTGATTCCAGAGCTAGCAGGGAAAGTATAAGATGCGCCTCAAATATTTGGGGTGCTAGGAAGTGAAGCATGGGAGTGGAAGGGGGTGTCCTCACAGAATGATAGTGTCGTGTCAAAAGAACACAGAAGCTAGCTTAAAGAGGATCCCACTAGCTCAATGTGGGACAATTCAACCATCCAAACCAGTGACAAATAGAAGAAAAATCTTCATCTTACAGTAGAAAACCAACAAATAAATCTAAAAGACGGTTCCATACAGTGTGAATCTACTTAATACCACTAAATTATTAACTTAAAATGGTTAAAATAGTGAATTTTATGTATTTTACCACAAAAAAAGTAAAAAAAAAAAAATATAAAAGAAGCAAGGTGTAGTGACTTATGCCTGTACTCCTGGCACTTTGGGAGGCTGAGGTGAGAGACTGTTTTGAGGCCAGGAGTTTAAAACCAGCCAGAACAACATAGTGAGGCCCTGTCTCTATTAAAAAAAGAAAGAAAGAAAAAATTAGTTGAACACAGTGGTGCAGGCCTGCAGTTTCAGCTACTTGGAAGGATGAGGCAGGAGGATCACTTGAGCCCAGGGGTTTGAGGTCACAGTGAGCTCTGCTGATGCCACTGCACTCCACCCTGAGGCAACAGAGCAAGACCCTATCTTAAAAAAAGTAAAAGGAATAGGGGTCACTGTATTATGGTCTACTCTCCCAGAAACATGATCAACATGTCCTTTCTGACTGATCTGTACAAGTTTCAACTTGCTTAGTTTATTGCTTTTGCAGGGAGGGCTTCATCTGTTACCATCCATGCGGATTTTATGTTTCTTGATGTTTGTATATCTCAGACCTTTTGTAATGAGCCACATATACAGAAGGAATGATGGAATTAGAAAATCCCCATGACAACCAACACAATAATAATTAATTTGGAAAAGAATCTTGAAAGGATGCTAAAACTAACAAATTAAAGCTTGACAAGAAACAGAATATTTATGTAGTCTGAGAGTGGCTCCCCACATAATACTCAGTAACGAACTAATTAGTAGGAAATACTTAATTACCTAAAATCTAAAGGTACAAGTAAAGCTTAAAGGGTTAAACACTGAAAAACCAGGCAAATACTAACTAAAAAAGAATTAGTCACTAAAATAGACATTAAGGCAAAAAGGCTAAGAGATAAAGGACATAATTTATCAGAATATCAACAATTCTGAATTTACATGTACACTGCATAATCTCATATGTTTAGCAAATCTGACAGAATTACAAAGAAATATTTAATGGGATACAATCAGTCAGAATTGAGAAACTTTCTTAACAATTGCTAGGTCAAACAGCTAAAAATTAGTAAGATAAATAATTTAAAAACACCATCAAGAAGCTTAATTCCATAAATAAACATGAAACCCAAACTTTGAAAAATCCTCCATTTTTTCCAATTTACCAAAAGCAATCATATAGCAGGCCCAAAATCAACTCTAAACAAACAAACAAACAAACAATAAACCCCCCAAATTATTAAGTACAGATGAGTTATCTCTAACCAGAGTATAATTAACCTGGGGAAAAAAAAGAACTAAGCCTCTTCTAGCCTGAAATTTAAAGCAACAACCATAGCATCCCCAAACAGTAACATTACTTCTTAAAAACCCCTATAGGGCAAAGTAATAAAAATGAAGTCAAAAAATATCTTGGTAGGCACGGCGCCTATAGCTCAACCGGCTAAGGCGCCAGCCACGTACACCTAAGGTGGCAAGTTCGAATCCCCAGCCCGGGCCCGCCAAACAACAATGACGGCTGCAACCAAAAAATAGCC